GTGGGAGATGTTCGAATCATGTGGGTGGGTCTTTCCCGTGCTACTGTGGTGATAGTGAATGTGTTGCATGAGATCTGATGGTTTTGAAAACAGGAGTTTCTCTGCACAAGCTCTCTTTTTGCTTGTTGCCATCCATGTAAGACATGACTTGCTCTTCCTTGCCTTCCGCCATGATTGTGAGGCCTCCCCAGGGTTGTGGAACTGTGAGTCCAATTAAACTCTTTCTTTTGTGAATTGCCCAGTCTCGGGTATTTCTTTATCAGCAGCATGACAGTGGACTAATGCAGGACATATGAAGTAATTTTCAAGTTGCATAATGCTGAATGGTCTATAAACCACAGAGATGTAGCCATCTAAAGTTACTGAAACAGGATGTTATGAAGCTAAAAGGAAAGCTAGGTTTCAACCCCAGTGGGACTAACCAAAACCAATATGGCACGTGACCTTTATGTATATCAGTCTCACTTTTAAATGTACCAAAAAACAGAGGGGAAAGAGTCAAGTAGCCAGGACTTAAGAAGTGTTTTCTATGACCTAGCATTGTGAAAATGACTAAACTTGCCTGGTGACAGCCCTCCAAGCCAGCTAACGTGACTCACTCTACTAATGCCATGCCCAGCAATCTTTGCTATTTCCCTCCCATTTGCCACAATGGTGTACTGAACCAGTTATTATATTTTGAACCACATTACTCTCTCTAGGGTGAAATCCCTATTCTTCACAGATTAAAATGGAACATGATCCACTCTAGATTTTAGTTAGTTCTTACTATCCATTCTGGAGACTCTTTTTTTGATATTTAAAAAGTTCATTTTATTAATAATCAAGAAAACACAAATTTAAACCACAATGGGATAAAATTTCACACTCAATATATTGGCAACAATTTTAGAGACTGGCAATATCAGACACTGGGGAGGACAGGGAACATGGTGATCTTCAAACGGAGTGGGTAGAGTGGGTAGGAGTATAAATTGATTCAATCACTTTAGAAAACAGTTTGGTGTTTCACAATACAGTTAACCATATCCATATAATATGACCTAGCAATTCTTTTGTGTGTGTGTTTAAATTATTACATTGTGTGTTGAACAAATTTTAAGTGAATTGTTAATGAAGTATAGGTAGATAAATATCATATCATAGATCTCATGAGATACTTGACTGTTTTTAAGTTATGGCTACTATATTGGAAAATGTGTTTTCTTCTGCTTTTTTTATATTATAGGGATTAAATAAAATGCCTTTTAAAACTTTTTTAAAATTTTATTTTTATTTCAATATTTTTGGGGGTACATGTGGTTTTTGGTTACATGCATAAATTCTTTAGTGGTAATGTCTGAGATATTGGTATACCCGTCACCTAAGCAGTGTACACTGCACCCAATAGACAGTTTTACGTCCCTCACACCCCTCCAACCCTTCACTCTCAAGTCCCCAAAGTCCATGATATCATTCTTATGCCTTTGCATCCTCATAGTTTAGTTCTAACATATAAGTGAGAACATGGAATACTTGGCTTCCCATTCCTAAGTTACTTCACTTAGAATAATGGCCTCCAGCTCCATCCAAATTGCTGCAAAAGACATTATTTCATTCCTTTTCATGGCTGAGTAGTATTCCATGGGGTATATCCATACCATATTTTCTTTATCTACTCATTGGTTGATGGGTATTTAGGTTGGTTCCACATCTTTGCAATTGTGAATTGTGCTGCTATAAACATGCATGTGAAAGTGTCTTTTTCATATAATGACTTTTGTCCCTCTGGGTAAATACTCAGTAGTGGGATTGCTGGATCGAATGGTAGTTCTATTTTGAGCTCTTTAAGAAATCTCCATACTGTTTTCCATAATGGTTGCACTAATTTACATTCCCATCAGCAGTGTAAATGTGTTCCCTTTTCACCACATCCACCCCAAGATCTATTGTTTTTTGACTTTTTAATTATGGCCATTCTTGCAGGAGTAAGGTGGTATCTCATTGTGGTTTTAACTTGCATTTCCCTGATAATTAGTGATGCTGAGCATTTTTTCATATGTTTGTTGGCTATTTGTATATCTTCTTTTGAGAATTTTCTATTTATGTCTTTTGCCCACTTTCTGATAGGATTTTGTTTTTCTTACTGATATGTTTGAGTTCTGTAGAGATTCTGGGTATTAGTCCTTGGTCAGATGCATAGTTTGCAAATATTTTCTCTCACTCTGGGGATTGTCTGCTTGCTGATTATTTCTTTTGCTGTTCAGAAGCTTTTTAGTTAATTTAGGTCCCAATTATTTATTTTTGTTTTTGTTGCATCTGCTTTTGAGATCTTAGTCATTAATTCTTTGCCTAAGCCAATGTCTAAAAGAGTTTTTTTGATGTTATCTTCCAGAATTTTTATGGTTTCAGGTCTTACATTTAAGTGTTTGATCCATCTTGTGTTGATTTTTGTGTGAAATGAGAAATGAGGGTCCAGTTTCATTCTACTTGTGGCTTGCTGGGTTTCCCAGCACCATTCATTGAATAGGATATCCTTTCCCCAATTTATGTTTTTGTATGCTTTGTTGAAGATCAGTTTGCTATAAATATTTGGCTTTATATCTGGGTTCTTTATTCTGTTCCATTGGTCTATGTGCCTACTTTATAGGAGTACCATGCTGTTTTGTTAATTATAGACCTGTAGTATAATTTGAAGTTGAGTAATGTCATGCCTCGAGATTTTTTTTTTTGGCTTAATTTTACTTTGACTATGCAGTCTCTTTTTTTGTTCCATATGAATTTTAGGCTTTTTTTCCTAGTTCTGTGAAGAATGATGATGGTATTTTGGTGGGAATCTGTAGGCAGTATGGTCATTTTCACAATACTGATTCTACCCATCCATGAGCATGGGATATATTTCCATTTGTTTGTGTCATCTGTGAGTTCTTTCAGCGGTGTTTCATAGTTTTCTTTGTAGAGATCTTTCACCTCCTTGGTTAAGTATAATTCTAAATATTTTATCTTTTTTTTTTTTTTTTTTGGCAGCTCTTGTGAAAGGGATTGTGTTCTTGATTTGATTCTCAACTTGGTTATTGTTGTTTATACCAGTGCTACTGATATCTGTACATTGATTTGGTATCCTGAGACTTTACTGAATTAGTTTATCGGGTTGAGGAACTTTTTGTGTGAGTTTTAGGTTTTCTAAGTAAATAATCATATTATAGAGAACAGCAACAGTCTAACTTCCTGCTTTTCTCACTTGGATGCCTTTTATTTCTTTCTCTCATCTGATTGCTCTGGCTAAAATTTCCAGTGCTATGTTGAATATAAGTGGTGAAAATGGGCATCCTTGTCTTGTTCCATTTCTCAAGGGGAATGCTTTTAACTTTTCCCTATTCAGGATGATGTTGGTTGTCGGTTTGTCATATATGGCTTTTATTACTTTAATGTAAGTCCTTTCTATGCCTATTTTGTTGAGGGTTTTTATTATAAAGGATGCTGGATTTTATCAACTGCTTTTTCTGCATCTATTGACATGATCATATTGGAGCCTCTATTTTATGGTCCTTTCCTATCTTCCTTCACTTTTCTATTTTCCTTTCCCACCACTCCCCTATTTATAGTATACCATATATATTACATCAATTCCCTTTTTGAGGCTCTTTACACATTACCATAAGATTCTCAGAAGCAAAACATACTTCAACTCTCTGACAAGGTAATAAACATAGAAAATGATGTACATAGTATTGGTGTAGGCAGTTGGGTTTTTGTTTGTTTTTTTGGCAAGGAAAATCAAGACTGCAATGAAAGAACATTCTTATAATAAAGACCATTTCTGTAATGAAGTTTGGTTTGACTAAGGCGAAATTAAGAGTTAGGGTATTTGCCAGGCATAACTTTGTACATAATACTTCCTTTAAGCAAATATTTAAGGTTTGTTATTGGGCATCTGTAAGGCAGAAAGAATGGCCATGATGGGGATAATTGTGCAGATGGTCTAGTTTAGCCCCCTCCAGCCCAGTGCTCATCCTGTTCCCACAAAGACAGGCTATAGGGGAATCTGGAGAGGAAGAAGGCACACCTTAAATTTTTAAATAGTGTGACAAAATTCTTTCTCACTTAATTTGGTTCAGGCCTACATTTCCCATTTTATTTTGCTCAAGATCTTCAAAAGAAATGCCAGATTCAGAAAAAAAAGTAAAGCTCCTACATTTGACATCAATCTAGGTAGTCCTTCCCTGTAATAATGAATTTAAAATATATATCTATATATTAGATTTATACATATTTTAGGCTTCAGCTGACAGCTTCCATGTGAGAAGTTTGAGTTCAGAAAGAATGTAATCTATTTTACTTGGATCAGAAAATCCTTAACATTATAAAACAGACTTATTAATGGTCTGAAAAAAATTATAAAAAACGTTCTTGCAGGTAGGTGGAAGAATATTTAGAGAGATTTAGGCTAGTGAAAACAAGTGATTAAAAAACATTTTGCTTCCCTCTGTAAGTGAAGCATTCACTACTTAAACCAATCCATCACTATGCAGAAAAAAATTGGCAGTTTATTAAAATTCTTCATATTTAGTAAAAGTCACTCTTTGGGCTTTTTAAAATTTGAAAACACAGATATATGCATATGTGTGCATTTTAATTTTTCTTTTATTTTGTAAATAGCAACAATTTAATGATGCTGCTAAACTCTATGTACATTATGCTTTCTACTGAGAAGAAATTTGATTTCATTAAAGAAATATTAGAGGTCAATCCTACTAGAACCAAATTTTTTGTTTAACAAAAAACGTCAAGCCACGATGTATCAAATAATTTCATGTGATACCTAATACAACAAAATTCAAGAACACAAAAGAATCTGAATAGCCTCATGACATTCTTTAATGGGATTTGACCAGCATTTTTTGTCTATTTAAATCCCAGCAAAATATATTCATCAGAGAACCTCTTATTTTTTCACTTAATCTCTGCATTTAACAGCAAAATAAAGAAACACAAACATCATCAAAAGCTGTATCACTTACCATAAATGCCTGTTGAGATGCAGGGAAATGCCTGTGAATAAACCACAAAAATAACAATAAATATTAAAGAAACAAATCTACTCAACATTATCTATCTCAACATCTATTTTGCTTGATAATGGGATGCCCTCTACTTACATATTCAGAGCTAGGAGTTGGAGTAGGGGACACTGGAAATGTGGATATTTGATTAGCTGGTAACTGTTCCCTATCAGCAGTTATATCAGCTCACAAGAACCAACTGCTAAGTTTTCAGGAATCTTGTGAAGCAACTGTTAAACAGCTATTATTAAGAAATTAAATTATATAAACCTACAATGAAATAAATGATATCAAAACACAGATAACCAATAGTTAGAACTCATCCCTTTCTAATTACTTTGTACATCTGACTATTACCTATGCTCTTGAGATTACGTATGTCTGTCGTATGTGTACAGTGAAATACTACACAAGTCTCTCTTCCCACCTCCATGGTACATGATGTCACATCAGTTGCTTAAAATCTGAAAACATCAATTTACATTCATGACCCATATTGTGAGACAGTTAAAATCACAGACTGGCTATGGATAAACATTTTAGGTAAAATTCAACAAAAGCATTCTGTGAAAATCAATCAACTATTTAGAATGTATAATAAAGAGTATTACATATATTATTATTATAATATGTAAATTGTGTGCTACATGTTCTTTATGTCAGTAAAATTTAAAAGAAGCTTATATAAAACATACCCCTTTTTTGACAGCCAGTCTTTAAACATTTTCCAGCACACTACTGCTTATGCCATATTTTGCTTTGCAGTGTTTAAAGAATTTGATTGAAAAAAATGAATTGACAAACGTAAATGTACATTTCACTCTAAATTAGGTTTTCTAGCTATAGAAAGTGGTCTGGGTGTGGCAACTTTCTCTGCCAATGGATTTCTGTGTAAATTCAACCAAATTGTTTTACTCTTTCTGGTCTGTATTTTTCAATTGTAAAATGGAGATAATGCCCACCATACAGAAATGTCTTCTGGACTGTCGGTGGGAACGTAAATTAGTACAACCTCTACAGAAAACAGTATGGAGATTTCTCAAAGAACTAAAGATAGAACTACCATTCCATCCAACAATCTCACTGCTCAGTATCTACTCAAAGGGAAAGAAATTATTATTTTTTAAAAAACCTCTATTCCTACATTTATCACAGTGCTATTCACAATAGTAACAATATGGAGGCAACCTAAGTGTCCATCAGTGGAGAACTGGATAAAGAAAAAGATGGTAGATGGACTACTACTCAGCCACAAAAAAGAATGAAATCATGTGTTTTGTAGCAATATAGATGGAACTAGAGACCATTACTTTAAGTGAAACAACTCAGTCACAGAAAGACAAATACCGCATGTTCTCATTTTTAGTGGGAGCTAAGAAATGAATACACACGGACATAGAGAGTGGAATAATGCATTGAAGACTCAGAAAGGTGGAAGGGGGCAAGGGGTGAGAAACTACCTGAAGGGTACAGTGTATGTACACTGTTAGAGTGATGGTTACACTAAAAGCCTAGTTTTCACCATTACACAGTATATTCACGTAACAAAAGTGCACTTGTACCCCCTAAATCTATAAAACAAAAAGTGAATAAAAGAAATGTGCTGTTGGAATTAATGACAGATTTTTTTTTAAAGTTACTGGCAGTATATTAGAATCTAAAAACTACAGCTGCTATGGACCATAATAACTAACATTACTATTGAGGTCAATAATAATAAAATATCTAAGTCCTTTTTGTTCATATCTTTTGGCTAAATGTATACTGCCTTTTATTTCTATTAACGCTATTACACAGCCTAAGTTTGTTTATTCCCAACTGTATGTCTGTAAAACGATATATGCTTTTTTCTGTTCCTGTGGAAGCCTTTACTATTAATAGTAAATACTACTGTTTATAAAGAGAAAGTAGAAGTTTCTGGAACATAGTAGCTGCTCTTTTTAAATTAAATTTATGAGTCAATGCTTTGATTCCGAGGGTTCTTGAGGTGCCAATAACATCTGAAGAATGTTCTTGACTGACTTAATCATTCAGTGATACAGATCATGAAGCAACAGTGTAACGCAAAGTCTCTTTACCAGCATTCACCAATAGGCGTTACTCTGAAAATCAGCTGCAAGCTTACTGTGTATTTGTTACGATTAGAAAGGACTCAGAGTTCAGGAATAGTCTACTTAAAAATTCAAATTAGAGAGGATTAAGAGTCATCCCTATATTTGTGCCACGCCAGCCATGTTCCATTGTACCTTTTAAGTGAGATAAAAGTGAGTTTACAGCTTGAGCCCCGGGAATTCCATGGGAGCAAAGTAAACATGTGAGCATCATATATCTCATGTCTGGAGAGAAAAAGAAATGTTTGAGAACTGCAGCATTGTGCCATCAAGGTGTAGGGAAGGTAAGATTTTACCTCTACCTTCTTAGAGTTTTTCAGTTGTGGCTGATAATTAAATTGACACAAGACAGATTAACAGGAAAAAAAAAAACATACAAATTTATTTAATTCAAGTTTTATGTGGCATTGGAGGCTTCATAAGAAAATGATGACTCAAAGATGCAGTTAAACACTTACATACTAAATTGGGCAAAGAGTAGTAGATTATGAAGATGTGACAAGGTAAAGGGGCTTGGGCTAGGGTAGTTAATTGAGTGAAGTAAGAAGAAAGACAAGAGTTAGTTTAACAAGGTGTGTTTGGACAGATTTCCAGTGGCCTCAACTTCCCATCCTTGATGATAAGAATGACACTTTTCTGCTCATACAGGGAGGATATCTTTCACGTGGAAATTTTTTTCTCCTCCTTTTAAAAAGGACTGCAAGAGTGTTCTTTGGCACCTGCCCTTTTTTTCAGTGCCTTTGACTCAAAATAGTCAATGTGCCAGAGGGGCATATTTTGGGTTGTATATTCTGAACTCTTTCAAAGGGAAAGTCAGAAGATAGCAAAATGCTTTCAACAAGATGACCCACTTTAACTCACATCTTGGTGTCCTTCCAGTTTATAATGTGGGGCAGTTTACTGAACTACTCTGAATGCTGTTTTTTTCTTTAGTAAATGGAAACTCTGAGGCCTGCCTCAAAGGGTTTGCAGGAGGAGTAAGAGAAATAAAGAACATGAGCATTGTGTCTGAGAAGTAGTAATACCTTGATTAGTGATGATTCCTGGCGTGGAAGCTGTGATGTCCACCAGGTTCTGTTGCTCCAGAACAGGGCTTCCCAACCTCAGCTCTATTGATATTTTGGACCAGATAATTCTTTGTTATTGGAGGCTATGTGCATTATGGGAAGTTTAGCAGCACCCCTGGATGCTACCAGCTAGATATCAGTAGCATCTCTCCAGTTGTGTTCATCAGAAATATTTCTAGACATTGTCAAATGCCCCCAGGGGAAAAAAATCATCTCTGGTTGAGAATCACTGACCTGGAATCTAGGACCTAGAACCCAGCAGACAGCCTTCAACTATCAACCTTTTCAAGGACTACAAAAAGCCACCTCACCCAGAATCATGTCCCTGCCCAGGACAGTTCACACCAACAACTGATCAACGAAGTGGTACAAGGCCTGGCCACCTTGGCTCATCAGTACAACACTGAAGGGTCCTTCCAGTTTCAGAGTTCCTTACTCAGTCAGTAGGGTCCATCACTGGACCTACATCCAGCTCACCTTCTCCCTCAGTCCACTGCTGCTTCCTCTCTCTCTTTCCCAGGTATTGATTTAAGGGCACTCCTTAATAAACATCTAGCATCCTAAACTCTCTCTTAGAGTCTGTTTCCTGGGAACTGATCTGGGCTAACTCCCTTTTGCTTCCCTCTTAGATCCAGCTATGTGTATCTTTCTTCCATCAGATCTAGCAGAAGAAAAACATACTGCGCAGTTAGTGACAAGTTTCATTTGCCTTAGCTCTTAGTTCTATCTTGGAATCAATCATGCAACTTAGTAATTGAGTCTGAATGTATCAACTGCCTTGTCTGTTTTAACAAGGATAAATAGTTTCATCTGGAAATGACATCGTTGCCTTGAATGTGAAAGCAAATGGTAGTGTAATGGAGGATGACTTTGGTAATATTATTGCATTAATTCAAACAAAAAGGCAATGGTATAGCAGAGATGGAAATAGAGTATTATGGAAAAAAATTCATTTGATGTAAAATAACTTCGCACAGAATTCATCGAAACTAAGCTTACTCCATTAATCATTTTTTATTACTCAAGAGAGACAGACAGACAGACAGAGACAGGGAGAAAGAGATTGAGAAAGAGCAAGTGAACAAGCAAACTAATGACTTTTGCACACATAATTTGTGTTCTTTGCCATAATAAACTTCTGACGGGGCCATCAGAAGTGAGTAGCGTGTGATTTCTTTATTTCAAAGCTGCATTTAATATAACGACCTTCCATGTAAATACTATCCCATGGAGGAATGATAAATTGTACCAAAACCCATACCAGGTGTGCACATAACTCAGCAATCACCTCTAGAATTTGGAGAACGACATTAGCAACCCCATTTGTGAGGCTCCAGATTCTCCTTCCAGCAAACTTCAGGAGCAATATGTCTCCATGCTAATCAGGCCTGAGCACCCAGCCATCAGAAATTCTAGGGAGACAAAAATAAAATCATCTGAGGCCGAGGCAGACAAATCGCTTTAGAGCAGGAGTTAGAGACCAGCCTGGGCAACATGGTCAAACCCTGCCTCTACTAAAAATATAAAAAATTAGCCAGGCATGGTGGCACATGCCTGTAGTCCAGGCTACTCAGGAGGCTGAGGTGGCAGAATCACCTGAGCCCAGGATGCTGAGGCTGCAGTGAGCCATGATTGCACCACTACACTCTAGCCTGGGCCACAGGAGTGAGACCCTGTCTTAAAAGAAAAATGACTTAGAGTGGAGAATTCTTTCTCATGGGAAATTATAGATTGGGTCACCAAGTGGGAAATACTTTTATAGCCCAACATGTTGGCATCAAGCAGAGTTGAAAAAAAACATTGAAATCCTT